TCAAGGCATTTTAAAAATCATGGGTGTTAACTCCCCTCAAGTTATGACCCGTTGTCCCCTACAGAATAATGGTTGCATCTAATATTAAAATAAAGATGGCGGAGTATAGCGTTGATTCATCTCGTTCTACTCTGGATTACTTGGAGTCAATAAAGATCCCAGAAAGTTAGTATTTATATGCCTGTGTGTTTTTTTTGTTTGTTTTTTTCACTGTCTTTGACTTTCCCAGTATGTTTGTTGCTGTTGGCAACAATGCAGAAAGTAATAAAAATAATCACAGCTTTACTCCACCCACCCCACTATGAAGTAAAAGGCTGTTTATAAGGCCATGTATGATGGTTTCATGTTTCTTATGGAAAACAATTTTAATTATAAACTTCTATGCTCCTGTACCCAACCTTGGGGGTCCATCACACTAAACAACAGGTGTCACTATTACTAAGAAAAATGTACTTTTATATATATATATATACTCGCTTAAAGAAAAATTCACGGTTAACGTTTAGTAACATAACATTTTAATGATAATTAGTATTATGTTACCTGATAAATGTATGTATAAAGAAACAATTTAAGAATTAGATGTAATTTGAAGTGACCCGCACGCATAGTTTACTATGGCATATCCTTGTAATTTAACCAACGGTGTATGGTTTCAGTTATTAATAAACAACCACATGCCGCGTGGTCTTATATTACTTTCAATAACAGTATTGACACGAGCATTGACATTGCTCCATCAAGTAACACATAGCATAGACATCGTACCATTATATTACTCCGCTATTTGACGTTTTGACCTTAGTGTGCCAGCTTGACGTCGCGTCAACTTGTTTCATTAGGAGGTTACACATGTCGTTGTCGTGACATGTAACACGGTGCAGTACATTGCTTGTACATTCGACACAATATAAGCATTGTATATCTCAATCACAGTAACAACGTGTTTCTGGAGCTGCGCATCGAACCCATCCCATTATTATACTCGGTCACTATTCATTGTTTACTGCAGTTGACTGTTTAATCTTTCAAACAGTGAACTACATATTACGTTTTGATAATGTACTTTGCATTAAGAATGGGGGTTTCGAGTCGCGGCGTTTTCTTAATGGGTCCCACGTAACGAGTCACGGCGTGTCCTTTATGGGTCCCACGCAACCTATTCGCAAGATAATGGAACGCGTGCTTCAGGGCGATCACCGCCGTCTAACTGTTACCAATGTTGATGCTAAAACCTGTCATCTACACGTTAGATTCTATGCGGCGTTCAAACAAACTTTCACACAGTGACTTTACATCAGCATCTGCATGATTTGAACCCAGTCGATACATTAATAAATAGGTGGCTGAATAATATTTTTGTTACTGCATGAGTATACCATTCATTTCATTTTTCCTAGCACGGTGTTGATGTTGTGACAATAATATTTAGTCTTGTAGTGTGATAGGGGAATTTCTAGTTTGAATACTTACGATATAGGCTACAGCGACATCACTTCTTATCGACGTATATAAGCACATGTTGTTCTGGTTTAGTAGTAATCTTAGTAATCTCACGAGTAATTCAGGATAGCTTTGCGACAGTCGTGGCGAAGACCTAATATAGAAAGATTACGTAACACAATCACGAACACTAAATAAAGCCAATATTTTATGTGACAAAAGTAATACAATAGAAAAATAAGAAAAAAAAAATATGTGATTCTGCTTTATAATTCCGGTCAGTTACGTCTGTCAATTTGTTAATAAAATATTAGCAGGCAGCTGACGCTGGTTAAATTATTCAGATTATTTACAACTCCAGACTCTGCATCGTGGCACACTTGTATATCAGAAGGGGCGGCACGAAATTTTGCATGCGGGGCGAGATCTGCACACGATCCCTCGTACCGAAGGCTTGACCTTATTAGGGGGTCCGGGGGAACGCTATCTCCTTCATGTTGAAGGGCAAGTTTTGCTGACACGAACGGTTTCAGCTTGATTGGGTGGGGGGGGGGGATGAAAGGTCGGCCCGCAACAGTTTTTCGAGGGGGCGACCGCCCCTCTGCACCCCTCCCGTGCCGCCATCACTGTATATAGTCGTCTATGACATTTACTCACTTTTAATAAATCAATTATGCGTTGTATGCATTGTGTCCAGTAATTTGCATTATACATCAGATGACAAATATGGTGTGACGAATACGCCCTTGTTGTTAATAAAATATTTCAATGTGTGCGTTCTCCACCTCAGCAATGACTTAGTTTTCATGTTTCATCGTTCTGATAGGTGCCCGACATTACTCCATATATTTGTGCTTCCCGTGTGTTATGAACAGGAGCTTCGTGTCCGGGGAACTTGGTATCACTTGTATTGACTGTTAGGACTTACACGTAGAGATACCAGATTCCATCTAAAGGAATACACATAGTTCATTACAGATAGCTGTATTCACCCATTTCTCATTATATCCCTCTCTCTTACAAAAGGTTACCAACTCTCTATCTTAAAAGTCAATTCTCTAAAGCGTGGCACGATCACGTGATTACCCGGATGTGTCTTACGGTTAAATCCTTGCAAAGTTGCCACAACTAAATACAATAAATAAACAATCTATTATCAAATTCTTGAAATATATGTTTATAAGCTCCACTCTAAACATGAAAGTGGTTGATTCTAAACAATAGTGCAACGGCGTGTGAACCCGACCGAATGTGCAAACGTCGCTATCATAACACTTGCCCTCTAACAAATTTGAACTGTATTCTAGTTCAATTAGAAAAGCTAAAATTACAAAACAGTGCCTAGTCACACATAATTCTGTCGATCATGAACAAATGTTTGCGCTTATCAAGTAATACGAACGTGGGCGCACTACTTCTATTTCAAAATGACTTTAAAACGTGACAAAATTGCTTCTCAAATCAATATATTTAAACAAAGTATAGGAACTATTCTAAAAACAACACATTAATCGACAACTCTGAAAATCTCTAGAATCACTTGGGGCAATATCCTTCCCATAATATTCAGCACTCACACACTTCTTAAAAACTTAAAAAATTGCAAATATTTCGTCTACTGAGAAATGTTAACGTTACCAACATAAAGGCCCTCACAAAGTCATTAAATATTAGTTCAAACGTAGAATCACAAAGAAAGGGTTCATACATTTGACAAGAGGAAGAATGCATTATGTTACACAGACTAAGCAATTGTGCTAATATTTTGAAAAAGTTGATTCCAGCAAGTGTTTACCGACATTATTCGTTATACATTGTTGTAATATACTATTATATTATTGTTGTTCTTCTCGTAGGTTCTGCGTGGCTGTTCCAGTTGAAATAGTTTTTCTTGTGCTTCTCACATGGATATACTTGATTCAGTTTTTTGTGCCACGTTGTTCATGTTGTCAGCGATGTGCCGATCGAGCCCATTCTATTTGATATACAACTAATTTTTAATGCGTGTTTTTAATATTCCAATGTTTTGTTGATAATCTGTTGCATTCATTTCGTAATTGTGACGTAACCACCAAGATAGTAAAAAGGTAACCCATCGCGTATACGGTCATTGCCATATCCTATGCTCTTGACCTCATCTTGGCAGTACCGGTTGTCGATTTATCATAATGTATGTACAAATCCGCTAATCCACTTCTAAAATTAGTAAAAATTTTAAAATATGTCCCTAAACCGTAATTATATTGATTTTTCCCCAAATCAACAAAATTGTTCAACCGATTTTTATAAATTATCGGTAAACAGTATTTAAGGACAGCGATATTCGAACCAGCTAAACATCTTTTGAAACGCTCAGATAGATGCATAACAGCCCGGTCCTTGGAATAAATATAACTCCAATTCATGACTTTGTGATATCGGAATTTGAAAATTACTGCAGTCGTTTAAAAAATCCGATATTACATGCTCACTCATTGGACATGATTTATATAATTCACCGGTGTCGTGGTTAACGTGGTTACCTACGACAGCCGCCCTTTAATGATAGAAAACAGCTGTACGTAGTTGCCCTAATTTACCATAGACAACATGAGATTATATTAGCCAAGATGAATGTCCACGCTAAAAAAACTAGTACCATGGTTGTCTTGCATTGCAAATGAACGCCCCTGAATTGTCAAGGTTATAAGCAGTATAACCATGTTATAGAAAAATGTTTTTTTCACCGTCTTTTATCTGAAACGCGATATATGAGGGCGTACTTCAATTACGTGAGCAGTTTTATTGACAAGTACATGTGAGCAGTGGATCAGGGCAACCACCAATTACAAAACTGGCTGCTTTTCTGATAAAATTTAAGACAGAAAACCTGATAAATCTATGTGTGTGGTTTACATTTATCTTGTAGGAGTTTGAGCTGACGAACAAGTGTTTGTCATATCAATTATATTCTTCATACATGTAGTTGCAGCAAATTAAAATAATGTTTTGATCTTTGTACCTTGTTTGTCGCCCAATTGGCGTTTATGGGAATTTATGGGAATTTTAGATGCTATGCTTTCAGGGTCTAGATTTTAAAAATTGACACTGATGGCACAGCAAATGTTTGTTAACAAGAAAAAAAGTTTGATAGCGAGAGCTATTGTCCCTTCAATTATTGACAATCATTATATGCACTGTTTTACTTCCAATATCATTTGCTAAGCACAATAGAGTGGCCGTATATATATTATAGCGCCCTCAACCATAACACAGTTAGACTTTGGTTTTTCTTTCGAATGTACCGACTGATGGCACAAATAGCACGGTAGAGAATGATAACTAGACGGGACTACTTTTACAGCTTAACTCTTCTTGCATTATATGCCACACGAAATAGTTCATCTAATCACACATCAGTGTAATGATTACAAAAGTTATTTCAACACCTTCAAGTTATTCAAAAGATGCTTACATGAGTAATTCACTCTGTTTAAAATAACGTGTGGGTCGTACAGATCGCTGGTGTATGTCTGCCAGTATATAACTTCTAACTCGATTATCATATATTTTTGCAGCAACAACCAGTGAGCCGATGACGTCAGAAAAATCAGATGATGATGAATCAATGACAACCGGTATGTACAGACAAAGTGGTAGAATGTGTAATGTTTCAATTGTGTTCAATGCGATGGTTATTTTACATAAGAACTGACAGAATAACATTACGTAAATCACGCCCGTGAACTATACACATACGAAATACACGGGATATCTAACAATTCATAATTTATCCCACAGCGATATCATTTTCACGTGACTATACAACGCCTTCAGGAACTGGGGATGCAGAATCAGCGGGTGAGTGTTTATATGCATGTACATTACATTCCCCTTTCTTGAATAAATAGATTTTGCTACATCACACAAGTTATATTTATGTTGAAATTCATTGCGTTGTGGTAATACATGTGAAGCTGACTATTATTTATTATTTTTAACAGAAATATTTACTATTGTGGTAACAACGGACTATGATAACATTGATAAAGGTATGTAATAACATGTACATTTTGGTTGGGTTAACACGAAATGCCTAAATATATAAAATGAATGGCGATCAGTCACACGTCTCGGTTATTTTTTTGATCTGATATCTATTCCACTATATATATTGTGGTGAACAATTAGTCAATCAATATATTAGTAACATGAGGTGAGAAATGCACCCGTAACGTTAATTCGAAATTATAAATAATAAAGTTTTTTTTTGAAGCGCCCTCTAGCGGCACAGCTCTTCTATGTCTTAAATGACGTAGGTGAGTTTAAGAAAGGTTTTTCAATTCGAAAACTTTGTTCAATTTTCGTTTAGATTATTACACATATCTAAAAGAAACAATAGGCAAACTCGGACGACCACTGGCGTTGTAATGGTATCCCGCATACCCATTTACAGCACAGAAACCTCCGTCGCTTGAGGTCGCGACTTTAAATTAACAGTCGTGAATATTTACATTTGAATTTGATTTACACTAACTATATAAACCAGTTTTAGTTAATCACGAGAATAAAGCATATTACAACTTTTGACAACTACTGTTACAGTACGAATATAACATTACTCTATAAAGTATTAAACGAATAGTGTTGAAATAATTAATAGTCAGTAACAGTCATCAGTCTATTGTAATAAATGTACTAGTGAATGAATGTACTTAAAGATATTTGCTGTCTAATGAATACAGATTATATGTAACATATAGAAGTAAAGCTAGTGCATTATATCTCTACAGGTGTGATAAATAATTGCACAGGTGGCGTTTATAGGAACAGAGTCTGGGCTATGAATGGAGAATCCTATGCTATTCAATACAATCCGTTTCAGAACGACCTACTTGAGTTTACAGTGTGCTTCTGGATGAGAACAAGTGATACTGACAATTTCGGAACGCCTTTCCACTACGCAACCTGGAACACTGATACTGAAGATGAGATATCCCTCTATGATTACAATGATTTTACACTATTTATTAGAGGTCAAATGCTATCATACACCAAAGTGTCTGTAGTTGACGACCAGTGGCATCACATATGTGTCACGTGGCAATCTCATGGTGGGAATTACCAGCTCTATAAAGACGGTGTAGTGGAATCCTATGGTGGAGGCGTCGCAACTAATTTGACAATCCGTGCTGGAGGAGTGTTGGCTGTCGGACAAGAGCAGGGCGAGCCAGGTGGTGGTTTCTCTAAGTCGCGATCTTTCATGGGAATGCTGGCATATTTTAACATGTGGTCGCGCGTGTTAAATGAAACAGAAATCGTAAGTCTCTATAGTGACTGTGCAGACAACGGCTGTGGTGATATTGTGTCGTGGTCATCATTCGAAGATACTCACGTGAATGATATTACTATTATTGACGGCGTTGATATATGTAGTAAGTTACCTATGAATACACTTTAAAACTATACACGTATTCGAATTGCATGAACTAACTTTCATTCCAAGTATACGAGGGCGCACTTATTAGTTTTGCAAGCGTGCCTGCCCGCGCACAGTAACTAGACGTTTCCATCATAAGATCACATTATGGTGTTGATAAGACATCATAAAATCTATGATGCTAAAGCAGATTTTTGTTTATATGACATTTTGCGAATGACATGTTGACATTGATCAAAGGACGCTGTTTACAAACATTCAGTACTAGATGATTTATCTATTGCCCTGTAAATCTAGACCATATAATATACACGTTACAACTACATTTTGTGATATATCATTGGCACATTATTTATTTCGTCTTTTATTTCAGAGACGCTACATCCGTGCTTATTTCCATATTTCCCAGACAAATCATGGGGTTTTTATGAGAACGATAGCCACGTCACACTCGCAATCACTGTTGACGAATTGTCAGAGTCTAGTGTTGCGTTCTGGTTTAGGTGTGAAGACATTGACCGCCTTGGAACAGTGTTGCACTACTCTACCAACCGACGGGATGACGAACTAATAATTTATTTAGGAACGCTGCAAACTGGCATAGGCGCGGGTCTAGCTCTTAAAATTGCTGATCAGGATTTTAACATCCCGTTAGCAGGACTCGGGGAATCACAATGGCACCACGTTTGTATAGAATGGAAGACAGTAGATATGGATACACTGTTGGTTATATACTTTGACACAGCAGTGGTATTCTATCGCACCAGTCCTACCAGAAGAGTTGTACATGGGACAGGTGTAATAACTGTCGGACAACGAGACCTTGGTAACCGGAACTTCGACTCAACAAGAAGATTTGTAGGACGTATTGCTGGTCTGAATATGTGGTCACAAATGCTCAATGGAACTGAGATCGAAAGATTAGGATCTGTTTGTAAAAATGTCGGTTGTGGAGATCTCATTACGTGGGCAAAGTTCACCATTTCGGATCTTAATAATGTTTCTGTTCATGACGTTTTTGACTTGTGTGGTGAGTACTAATATACGAATAATTCAAGTACATAATATCATTTTTTACCAATATGAATAATTTTAAAAATGTGAAATTATGCACTAAACCAACATATTTGTATTATATTCTAACTGATGTTTATTTTCCCAGACGACATTTTCATAACTGCCAATCCAACGACGTTACACAGGACAACATCTCCCCAAGTAGGAATTAGCACTACAGCCACAGACACAGAAACAAGCCGTTTATATACTGGAGAAGTATACGACAAATCCTCAGCTACGCAATCTATTCTACAACAATCAAGTAGTGATTCGAACCCACAGACGAGTGATGCTTCTACCACAGCTATATCGCAGACCACGATTAGTAGTACTAGCATATCGTTGAGTAGACAGACCGTCAGCGAACTGAAAATAAGTTCCAGTAACACTCAAACTGTGGGTACTGCTAGCTCATCTCAAGGTAGACAGACATTCAGCGCAGAGAAAATGAGTTCCACAAAACCTCACACATCTAAGCCTTGGGCGAGTACCTGGAATGATGAAAACAAAGAAACTCCCTCGCAAACCAAGTATGGCGGCAATACGAAGGGTAGTGACTTGGACAAATACAAATCGACCCCCTCAGTTCAGAAGAACCAGGATCCTAACTATTGTATGTATTATTATTCCAATATACAAACTAATAATTTTATAATCATAGAATACAAACTAGAAACCCATAGTGTCTAATATTTCGTATATTTGTAAGAAAGACGAATTTTAACATACACGATACGGTTAAGACATCCATATATTATCGTACAAATAGTACGGTGTGTAAAGTATAATTTATACCGAAATTCAAGTTGAAGATATAATGTGGACATTATTAATTGCTGTTAAATCAGGTTTAGCAATTACAAATAATTTGACAAAACGCATCAGTGTATCGTAATGTCGCCGTACGTTTACGTTTTGTCTTTGTAGATACACCACAGAACGTACAACAATTTGATAACAGTCCAAGAGCGTTAATTATACTGATATTCATAGTCGTTGTACTCTTTATTGCTGCTGTTATAATATCATGTTTTGTGTACAGAAAGTGTAGACGACACAAAGGGCATTATAGGTTAGTGTAACATGCGTGTCGATCAATCCTCGTATTTACACATTCGTTTTTTTATTTATTGTCTGGAGCAATTGTATTAAGGTCTTTCTCATTTTTATATAACTTATTTTAATTTATAGTCCAAATCATCATGATGCTACAGAAATGAATACATATTCAAACACAGGTTACGTTACGTGAGTATGTCCTCTTATTATAAAAACAAACATGGCTGCCACCAGAGTTTGACCGGACTCTACAAAAAGACGTTTGCTGATTCTGATCTCTCTCTTTTGGGATTTCAGACAGACAGTACGCCGTCCCTGTACGGCTTTCGTTCATACTTTGAGATATCCTCGTAATAACCTCATAATATTCACATATAGTGTTATTAATATTATCGTCATTTTTACATTCACAGGTGATGACGTCATGTCCACTGTATAGTTTTCAAAGCACATTTGAACAAGATGCAATAGAAATGGACGATATGCAGGACTGATATTTTCGATATATTTGCACGTTTATATTGTTTACCTGGTTCTAGTGTTTAACTATATTTCATTTTCGCTGATTGCAGAAGTCATGGCGCAAACAGAATGTTATCAATCTTAATATGTTTTTGCTGAATAGATTAGTATAATTCTCACGCTTGTGGTTTATCTAGCATTTATATAGAATGGACGTCATTTTAACAAATTTTGCATATTGTTACTCATATTTTTTATAATTATCAGCGTCGTTAAAGTGTACATATTACGAAGCCGGTAGTCAAGGCAGGTGTATTTGAGAAATAAAACAACATTCAAATATCGATATTATGATTTGTTATGCGTGAATCTGGAAATGTTATTCTATAGTTTGAAAGCGATATTGCAGTTGTCAGTGTTCGTGATACATGATTGTCACTTTATAACTATTTTTAGAACTATTTTTAGTATCGATCAAAAGCGTTAACATTGCTTGTGAAAATGTACAAAATGGTTTTATAACGAATGTCGGTGAGTTAGCCAGTATTGTTAAGTAGGCACAATGTAGTATTGGTTAAAATACAAGAATTGTTGATTAAGCCCGTTCGCCTCACACAGAACTGGTTTGAGGGCGCAATTAAAATATCAAACACAAACACTCACTACGCTGGCGGCGCCTTCTTATATGGTGCTCATACTGGTCATTTATTAGTAGATGTGCGAAC